TGTTGAGTGTATTTTGAAGCTCTTTTGTTTGGTACATACCCATTTAAAATTGCCATGTCTTCTTGATGAATTTACTCTTTTATTATTATGTATTGCCCGGCTTTATTCCTGGAAATTATCCTTGCTATGCATTCTTTTTTTTGGTCTAATATTAATACAGCCACTCCAGATTCCCTTTGATTAGTGTTTGCATGGTATATCTTTTTCCTATTTTTTACTTTTAACCTGCCTATATTATAAAATTATAGATAGCAAATAATTGGGTTTTGTTAGTTTGTCCGTTTTTAAATCTAATCTGATAACCCTTGTCTTTCAGACCACTTTCATTTAATATAAGTATTAATGTGTTTGAAATCAGATCTACATTTTTAGTATTTTGTATTCCATTTTAATTTACTTGTTGAGTTTTACACTATATCTCTTTGTATATTTAAAATTTTTTCAGTGGTTGCTCAGGGACTATACTATATATACTTAATATTTCATAGTCTACTTAGAATTAATATTTTATCACTTCATGTAGACTGTAGAAACCTTACCATCACATAGGTACCATAATCCTCCCCCTTCATCTTGTAGTTGTCATATGTATTACATCTATGTACACCCAAAATTCACTGAACTTGTTACAATTTTTGTTTTCAGTTGTTATACATATTTTAAAGAACTTAAGAGAAGAATAGTCTATTATATTTAACCAGATTTTTACCATTTTTGTTTCTTTTTCTTCATTCCTGGTAGTCTAAATTTCTTTTAGGTATTATTCTCCTTCCAGCTGAAGAAATTTTTTTAAAGCATATTTAAGAACAAGTCTGCTGATGACAAATCCTGTTAGTTTTTTATTATTCGAGAATGTCTCTATTTTACTCTCATTCTTGAAGAATAATTTCACTGAATATAGAATTCTTTTTTTAAATTGAGGTGAAGTTCACATAATATATAATTCACCATTTTAACCATTTTGAAATGTATAGTTCAGTGGCTTTTAGTACATTCATAATGTTGTGCAACCATCATCACTATCTAACGCCAGATCACTATCTAATCTATCTTCATTACCCCCAAAATAAATTCCATACCCATTAAGCAGTTACTTCCTATTTCATCCCCCCCTCCTGTCCTCCCCCCCTCCCCAAGCCTCTGGAAACCACTAATCTGCTCGTTGTCTCTATAGAGTTGCCTATTCTGGACATTTCCTATAAATGCGATCATAAAAAATGTGACATTTTATGTTTTGCTTCTTTCACTTAGCATAATGTTTTCAAGGCTTATCCACGTCATAGCATGTATCAGTACTTCATTCTTTTCTATGATTGAATAATATCCTATTGTATGAATACATCACATCTTGTTTATCCATTCATCAGTTGACTGACATTTGGGTTTTTCTCACTTTTTGGCTATTATGAATAATGATGCTATGAACATTCGTGTACAAGGTTTTTGTTTGAACACCTGTTTTCAATTCTCTTGGATATATAATCGGGAATGGAATTGCTAGGTCATACAATAATTCTATGTTTAACTTTGTGAGGAACTGCCAAACTGTTTTTCCACAGTGGCTGCACCATTTTATATTCCCATCAGCAATATATGAGGTTTTCAATTTTTCCACATCTTTACAACACTTGCTATTTTCTGTTTATTTTATTTTATTTTAGCCATGGGAGTGAAGTGGCATCTCATTGTGGTTTTTTTTATTTTATTTGCATTTTCCTACTGCTAATAATGCTGAACATCTTTTTATGTGCTTATTGGCTGTTTGTATAAATTTTGGGGGGCAATATCTATTCAAATCTTTTGCCAATTTTTGAATGGCATTGTTTTTCTTTTTGTTATCGAGTTGCAAGAGTTCTTTATATGTCTTAGTTACTAGATATATGATAATATAAATATTTTCTCTCATTCTGTAGGTCATTTTTTCATTTTCTTGATAGTATCTTTTGATGTCCCAAAATTTTTAATTTTGGTAAAGTCTAATTTATCTATTATCTTGTACTTTTGTGTCATATCTAAGACTCCATTACCAAATCTAAGATCACAGAGACTTACACTTATGTTTTATTTAAAGAGACTTATTGTTTTAGCTCTTATATTTAGGTCTTTGACCCTTTTGAGTTCATTTTTGCATTGGTGTGAGGTAAAGGCACAACTTCATTTTATTTTATTTTTTTTGCATCTGGTTATCTAGTTATTATTTGTTAAAAACGATTCTTTCCCCAATTGTCTCCCATCCTAGTAAAAAATTAATTAAATATAGACATATTGGTTTATATCTAGACCATCAGTTCTATTCCTTTGATCTATGTATTTTTCTTATGCCAGTACCACACTGTTTTGATTCCTGTAGCTTTGTAGTAGGGGTTGAAATAGGGAAATATGAATCCTCCAACTTTGTTTCTCTTTTTCCAAATTGATTTGGCTATTAGGGGGTCCATTGCAATTCTATATGAATTCCAGGATCAGTTTGTCCATTGCTGCCAAAATAACAATTGGTATTTTGATAGGGCTTACATTGAAATAGATATAAATATGCATTGAAATTTTGGTCCACAGGTTTTTCCATTTAGCACTTTAAAAATGTTTCTCCTCCTTCTGGCCTCCATGGTTTCTGATGAGAGATCTGCAGTCATTTAAACCAGAGAGTAACTTAAAATGGGACCTTGCCCGACACTCTGGAGACCACAGCTCCACTGTGTCCATCTGCGTTTTGGCACCTGCAATAGCATGCCTTCGCTTCATTGCTGCCTAGGAGCTGTAGTGGGAGAGGAGAAAAAAAAAAGAGAGAGCAAAATAACACACAAAATAGTGAACTTTTTCTGATGCAATTGGTTCTCTTTCCCCTTCCTCAGACCAGAAATAGTAGGTTTCTCTTGAAGCTCTTTCTATCCTCATCTTTTATGTACTTCTGGATTTTGGGCTTTCTTCAGGCCAGATAATATTAAAGAGGAGAACATGGTAACCTCGCCACTGGTTGGATAGAACTTTGAATTCTGGTGTCTTTCTCTAGTCTGCTGATTACCGTTTACTTTTCAGTGTCTTTTGATTGCTAGCTGCTCCATACAGTCTGTGTGAGATTTATAATTGCATTTAATGGGAGAGACAAGGTGGGTCATGCTTACTTCATTTTGCTGGAACTGGAAACTCTCTTAAATTGATACTAAGAACTCCTTATCATATAGGTATACTGATCTTTGTGTTTAAATTTTTAGAAGTGATATCTTAAATTGAAGTTTGACATTTCATAAGTCAAATTTATCAGTCTTTTCCTTTATGGGTTAGGCTTTAGTGTTTTATTTAAGTACTCCTTTTCAATATTGAGGTCATAAAGATATCCTCCTATATATTTTTTTCATCTTATATTTTCTTCTAAAAGTTATAATTTTTATATTTATGTCTTTAGAACACCTGGATTTTATGTTTTCTAAATGGTGTGAAATAGATATCTGATTTTTTTCCCCAGGTGAATATCCTAGTACCATTTACAAAATAATTTATTCTTTTTCTACTGATGTTTAGGGCTATTTCCTCTGTCATATGTCAAATTTCCAAAGATAGCTAAGTTTCTGGGCTTTTTGTTCTATTTCATTGTCTGTTATCTATTCCTCCTCAGTTATCTTACTAAGTTAACTATTAAAGGTTTAGAAGAAGCTTTGACATCTGTTAGGGCAAGTTCTTTCTCCTTCTTTTTCAAAATTGTCTGCTTTTTTTGACTCTTGATCTTTAATGTGAATTTTAGATAAGCTTGTGAAGTTTTAAGAAAACACTGGTTGGGATTTTCATTGGAATTGCATTAAATTCATATATTAAAGTTAGAGTAATTGATATTTTTACAAGATTGAAGCTTCCTGTTTGTAAACATGATATCCTTACCCATTTATTCAAGTTTTCTTCTAGGTTCCTTAATAATAATGTCTTGTAATGTTCTTCAGAAAGCATCTCCTTCATTAGATTTACTCCTGGATACTGGATTATTTTAGTTGTGACTGTAAATATCATTGTTTTTTTTTTCTGTATTAGACTTCCTTGCTGAGCTTTTCTATTAGTTTTAATAGTTTGCTAGTTAAAAATTTTTTTTATATATACTATCATATTATCTGTAAACAAGGATAGTTTTTCCCTCTATCCCCAACCCTCAATTCTTATACATCTTCTTTCTTTTCCTTCTTTTATTGTATTGGCTAGGACCTCTAGTAGGTGAATAGAAGCAGTGATAATAAGCATCTTCTTCTAGTTCTTGATTTAATAGCAATGTTTTTAAGTTCCTCTACAAAAGTGATTTTAACTCTAAGTTTGATACGTGACTTTTGTCAAGGTAAGGGCATTGACTTCTGTTCCCTTTTTTTTTTTTTTAAAGTCATGACTGTTGGCTTACGGTAAGTCTTGTTTTACTAGTAGTGATATCTCTGCTAAATTCTTCCCTTTCTGTGTTATCTGAAACAAAGGTCAGACATTACATCATGTTATCTGTAAATATTTTAGTATGTATCCTTAAAAGATAAGAATTCTTTAAAAAAGGAAAATAACCGTAATACCATTGTCAAAGAAATTTAACAATAATTTCTTTACATTATTAACTATACATTCCATTTTACATATCCAATTGTATGAGTATTGAATTTTAGCAAATATTTTTTTCTGAATCTATTGTGTTGATTAAGTGGGTTTGTCTTCTTTAATCTGTTCAAGTAGTATACTTTAATAGATTTTCTAATGTTGAACCATTCTATGCTTGAATTACTGAGATAAACACAACTAGGTTATGCTTTATTATTCTATATAATAAAAGGCTAATATGAAAATTGTCCCCTCGACCGGGAGTTCGACCAGGAGTTCAATTCCCTCCCGGCTGGCAATGCCCGAAATTGCCCCCCCATAGGGGGCGGGGCCAGCTGGCTAACTACCCTTGGCCCCTTCCCCCAGCCAGCCCAGCCTGATTGCCTGATCAGGCGGGCCAGCCAGACCCCACCTGTGCACGAATACGTGCACCAGGCCTCTTCTCTCTCTCTCTCTCTCTCTCTCTCTCTCTCTCTTTCCCTGAATTTAATTTGCTAGTGTTTTATTTAGAAGTTCTGTATCTATGATTATAATTGGTATTGTTGTACTACAATTTTTCTTCTGTGCTTATTGGGTTTTGGTATTAAAGTTAAGATTCTTATAAAGTGAGGTGGTATTTGTTAGGGTAAAAGGTAAGTTCCTATAATAAAAACCTACCCAAATACAGTTGCTTAAGTAAGATGGAAATGTATTTCTCATCCATAGCCTGGAAATGAATGCTTGGCAGCTCCTAGCATTTTGGGTCTCTGCCATCTCCTAAGGTCTTCATCTATATTGCCAAAGGTGGCTCAGCTCTATGTCTCTGTTCCAGCCCAGAGGAAGGGGACAACAGAGAAAATGGAGAGCAAACAATTTACCTTTTAAGTAAATATTCTGTTTCTTAAAATTCATATGTGGAAGTCCTAACCCCAGCACTTCAGAATGTGACCTTATTTGGAAAGAGTGATAGTGGGACTATTGAGATTGCAGAGATAAATTTGGGAGATAAATAGAAAGTGGCAGATTGGATGGATGTCAAGGATGATTTTTAGTTCCTGGAAAAGTGGTGGAAGGTGGTGCAACCTGCTGAGCTTAAAGAATGCAAGGGAAGCAGCAGGTTTATGGGAATTCCTTTTTATTTTGCAATTGTGTTAGTGGCTGACTCTGCAGGTTCTCTCTCAAGGTTCTGGTCCCATGACTCACCTGCCAGAGGCATGTCTTTGAGACCCTGCTTATGAGGGCTAGAGTCCGGGGAGACAAGAATGGGCAGGGGATCAGCTGATAGACAGGGCCACCCTCAGGCTGGAGCTCTTTGGAGCGGGCATTCATCAGTGAAGGAAATGCTCGTCTTCAGGGTCTTAGATTCTACCAGCTTGGGTCTCTATGAGAAAACTAGGGGGTGGGAAGCAGAGTGAGTCAAGTGTATGAGAAATAAAATAGAGACAGAGCTAGGAACAAGGAATTCCAGTCTTTCTTTTCTTCTGGTTGGTCAGATTTCAGTCCTTTACCCCTCTGACTAGCAACAACTGCTTCTAAATGACCTTTATTACCTGGGATCCAGCCTCTGACTAGAGATGTCCCCCACGGAGGGGCAGATAATTAGAGAATTCAATGGCTGAATACAAATGAGTCTTGGAGTCAGGAGCAAAAACTGCCTTCTCTGAGCTGGCACAGAAGATGTTCAGGAGGTCAGCCATGTCTCTTCCTTCCGCTCTTTTTCTCTCTCCACCTGCTCTCAATCCCTCCCTGAACTTCTAGTCTCCTCAGCTTTCCAGTTAGCCAGGCTGGGTGTTGCAGCCCTCCTCCTGTCCAGGCTGTTATCTGACTTGGTAGCAGTCTGAGCAGGTTCCAGAAGCCCGTCAGTGGAGCCCGGGGTTTCGGGAGGAGTCAGCTCAGATGCTAGAAGCTGACTTTGTGAAAGGCCAAGGCACAGGAAGCTGAGAGCGGGGAACAAGCAGAAACATCACTTTCTGTCTAGACCTCACCCTAAGCTCTTCGGAAACAGATGGGCCCTGCTGTCACACTCTTGCTCACACTCTTTTTCTTATTGTTTATTTTAGACAGAAGCAGAATAATAGAATGTTAGGGCCTGTGAAATCACAATCCAGCCCCTGCATTCCATACACAAGGCCCAGGGAGGTTAAATCACTTATTCAAGGTCAAACCAGGAACATTTCACTTTGCTCTCTCTCCCCAGCCCACCTCTGGCAAGGGCTTTGGTACTATTGTGAGGAGAGATATCGACAGCCTTGGTGGGGAGGGCTGAATGCCCCTTGGTCCCGTGGGGACAGGCAGTGCAGGCTCTGCGTTTGGGGTCCACACGGTTCTCTGTAGCCATGAACACAGGACAGGCTGCTCATGTTCAGCGGGTCCCAGCCCTGCAGGCCCCTGCACCTGGGATTGGAAGAATGAATAGGGACCTTGTTTGGTAGGAATTTCTTTCCTCTGCTGTTTGCTTTGGGTTTTTTCCCCTCTCCATTCCTGGCTGCTAACCCAATATTTGGCTTTCTGTGAGCACTAAATATAATTCTTCATTTAACCCCCAGAATCATGGTTTCCTACCTGCTTCCCACGACCGGATCCATAGCCTGGAATGAAAACAGAACCCAGAGGGCATCAGCAGCTCAGGGCTGAGGAGGCAGCAGTTCCGGGGAGGGGAGGAGCAGAGGCAGGCAGGCAGGCAGGCAGGGAGGGAGGGAGGGAGCATCACCCACGCTGGGCATCTCTCAGACATCTCGAGAAAGGGAAGGATCCAGGGAGGGAGGCGACTCATTGACTTCTATCCCTGCTCCTTGCAACCAGGGCCCTGATCATCTCCTCCCAACCCAAATGGAGGCCTGATGCCCACCCACAGCACCTCTGCACTCCAGCATTCCAGGTTCAGGGAATAGTGAGGTCGAGCTGGGGCGCAGGGAAAACAAACAAAACTGCTCCTCAAGCTCGCCAGCTGCAGCCCTCCAGGATCCAGGGCCTCTGTGCGTCCCGCACCTTCCGGCTCTCCTCGCCCTGAACAGTCAAGGCAGCAGCAGCAGGGAGAGCTGACTCCAACCGATCAGTGGAAAATTCCCCTCCGAGCCCTCTCGGGAGGAGCCGCTCCAGCAGCTGCTGTTGAACAGCAGGGCTCGTTAGCGAGGCACCTGGCTGTCAGGTCCCCCACCGGCTCAGCCCCCTGCCGGGCCGAGGTGGCTGGAGCCCTGCTCCACAGCGCGGGTCAGGCCAGCGTTGGTGCCTGGGAAAAATCTACTTGGGACGCGGTTTTCTCGATCAGGGAGCCCTTGGCAGTGCATTTGGTCTCCCTCTGGTTGAGCAGGAAAACAGGAGACGGCGCTTCCTACCGCCTGATTTACAGCCTTGGCGTATTTTTGACACACAAGTCACTCTAGAGAGGGAGCTCAATTATGGCTGTGCAGAGGCGCTGCCTGCA